CAGCAGCAGCAGTAACAGCAGCAGCAACAATTGGTTGGCAGTACAATGTCTCACGTGGGACATAATTTCAGCATGAGAAGGCCTGCATGTCTCCTGTCCTCTTGTCTATATGGTCTTTGGTAATAGTAATAACTAGCAGAGTAGATATAACACCTCTAGCTATTAAATTGGCTACGTAACGAATTTTCTATGGTGTATATTTGTAAAAATTTTGTTCCAATTTTTTTACATGAAAAGTAAGTAGTAACGGCACTAAATGTATCCTCAAATTCTGACCTGATAAGATTGTTTTTCAACTAGTTACAAATCCAAAAAATCTGGGCGATTTGATATTCATCACGACATTAAATGCTTGCTATGGGCTATGTAGGGCATGAGTCACGAGTGTTTGTTCACATCGAACGAAATAGCAAAATAGGAAGTATAATGCAGCAATTTAACCATAAAAAGTTAACAGAATCACTTACATTTTGTGGACATAATTTTTTTACTTTTACTATTTACGGGGACATAATCACTTTAAGCTGAGAACTACTAACTGTAAAACCAGGATCCCCCTTAGATACACGAGTGATTAATTGTCAGTAGCCAGCGTAGGCTGAGCAAATTTCTAGGGGGGGCAAAATTTCATGACTCAATTGTGTAATGATGAGCGACGGGCGCAGCTCTTGATTGACGTCCATAGTGTGGTAGGGGTGGTGGGTCTGAGGCAAGGCTTTCACGGATAAGTGACCAAAAAATCACATTAGGGTTATTTATGATTATTAGCTAAGCGTATTTGTGAATTTTTCCTCCAAAATCTAGGGGGCGACAGCTGCCCCCCTTGCCCCCCACAGGCTACGGCCCTGGTAGCCACCTGCTCGCATAGCTGCCTCCGTGAGACGTTTACGGCGATGTCTGCGACGGTAGGCAACGCGATCGAGAGCGAGGTCACCGTCTGACAGCCGTTCACTTGTTGTGTTTCGCGCGCGCAGGTACGAGGCGCCGTACACGATCGACGCGCAGTGGGAGCGGCTGTTCTCGGTGTACCAGCGCGTGCACCACCGCATACACACGACGTCGCGGCCGCTGAAGATACTGTTCTACGTTGGCGTGCATGAGACTATCCTCGGCTGGGTGAGTACCACACAGCATCCTTACAGCATTCACACAGCATCCTTACAGCATTCACACAGCATCCTTACAG